TTAATTGGATCCTCAGTTAACTGCATGCACGTCAAAGTAAGCTTAACAAGCTTTTGAAGCTTCGGAATCCACTTTGGCAACTTCTCAAAGTTATACCATAGGTTAAGCTTACGAAGCATAAGTGGGGCTGAATTCAATTCCAGATTGCAGATTTCATCTCCATATTGTAACTTCACATCTAGACTTTCCAAGTGTTTCATCTTACTTATTGAAGAACATAGAGTGCTTTCATGTTCTTTCCTAACTTCTCTATTAGAAATTGATACAAATTTCTAGAATAGTCTAGAAAAAATACTAAGAACAATCTAGGAAAAACTAATTGTATCTTCTAGTATGTAGATGCTTCTAGAGAAAGTTCTAGAATATTGTAAATCTTCAAGTTTCTAGATAGCTCTAGTATATTGACCCAAATGGTGGATGATGCCTATAAATAGGCATGCTACCTCATTGTAAATGAAATGAAGAAGAAGTAATCAAGACAACAATTCTTCATCTCTTGAGTCTCTTACTAAAACTTCTTCAACTACTATTTTCAACTATTCCTACTAACACATTTCAACTATCTTACTCATCTCACCTACACTAAAAACTATCAGTGGTATCAGAGCTACGTTCGGTCATCTACTGGGCGTAGAAATATTACCATACTATTTCAAAATTAAAATAAACTACTTCCAAGAATTTCCTAACCCATGGCTAGCACTACTCAACCATCATCTCTTCCCGTCCCCATTTTCAATGGCGAAAATTATGATTTTTGGAGCACAAAAATGAAAACATATTTCACTTTCCAAGATTTGTGGGATGTTGTGGAAGAAGGATTCACTACTCCCTCAGACATATCATCCCTTACTGCAGCTCAAAGAAAAGAATTGAAGGAAAACAAACAAAAGGATTCAAAGGCCTTGTTTACTCTACAACAAGCTGTGACTGATGCAATTTTTCCAAGAACAATGGGTGCTACAACAGCCAAAGAAGCATGGAGTACGCTGCAGGAGGAGTTTGAAGGAAGCGAAAAGGTACGCGCTATAAAACTCCAAACTCTACGACGAGAGTTTGAATTATTAAAAATGAAAGAGTTTGAGACCGTCAAGGATTACTATTCCAAAATAAAAGAAATGGTTAATCAAATGAGAGCTTACGGAGAAAATATTCTTGACAAAAAAGTTGTTGAGAAATTACTGATTACAGTTTCCCGTAAGTATGATCCAATTGTCACCACTATTGAGCAAACAAAGGACCTATCTACTCTATCAGTGACAGAGTTGGTAGGGTCCCTTGAAGCTTATGAGCAAAGGTTGAAAAGGCATGATGAGGACTCAATAGAAAATGTCTTTCAATCAAAGCTCAAATTACGGTCTCAGAATAAAGGGAATGAAGCAAGAAAGAATAATGGAGAAACTTCTAGAAACAAAGAGAATTCTAGAAATTTCTCTAGAAACAATCAAGATAAATACCCTCCATGTGGTATTTGTAAGAGGACAAATCATGCTGAAGAAGAATGTCGGTATCGTGGAAAACCACAATGTCGACACTGCAAGAAATTTGGACATGTGGAAAAGTATTGTCGCAACAAAAACAAGTATCAAGCAAATTTCGCTGAAGAGGATGATCGAGAACCACATCTTTTCTATGCTACCCAAGATCCCAGTACTGAAACGAGTGGAAATTGGTACTTGGATAGTGGTTGCAGCAATCACATGGCCAAAGATATAAACATCTTCAAGGATATCGATGAATCCATCAAAGTGAAAGTTCGAATGGGGAACGGTACTATCGTTGAGTCAAAAGGCAAAGGCACTGTTATGGTGGAGACAAAGAAAGGTACGAAACTTATTACTGATGTCTTACTAGTCCCCAACCTCAAGGAAAATCTCTTGAGTATTGGCCAAATGATGGAGAAAGGTTATTCTCTTCACTTCAAAGGAGACACATGTAAGATATATGACAACAAAAAGCAAGAGATTGGCCAAGTAAAGATGGAGAAAAGAAATCGAAGTTTTCCAATAAGCTTTCAACAAGGCGCTAATATTGCCATGAAAGCAGAAGTTGATACTTCACGACTTTGGCATCGAAGATTTGGCCACTTCAATACTCATGCCTTAAAACTACTACATCAAAAGAATATGATGAAGGATCTTCCATATCTTGAAGAAAATAATGAAGCTTGTGAAGGATGTCTCCTTGGCAAGCAACATTGATTGCCATTTTCTACTGGAAAAGCTTGGAGAGCAAAAGACTTATTGGAGCTTATTCATACAGATATTTGCGGACCAATGCGGACACCATCACTACATGATAACAGGTATTTTATCCTTTTTATCGATGATTTTTCTAGAATGACTTGGGTCTACTTCATCAAAGCAAAGTCAGAAGTCTTTGGAATTTTCAAGAAGTTTAAGGCCCTTGTCGAGAAGCAAAGTGGTAAACAGATAAAAGTATTAAGAAGTGATCGTGGCAAAGAGTATACATCTCAAGAGTTTGATAAATTCTGTGAGGATGAAGGCATTCAACGACAACTTACTGTCGCATATACTCCACAACAAAATGGAGTAACTGAGAGAAAAAACCGTACGGTAATGGAGATGGCTAGATCCATGCTGAAGGAGAAAGAATTGTCAAATACTTTCTGGGCTGAAGCAGTTTATACTGCTGTCTACATACTTAACAGATGCCCAACTAAGGTTGTCCAAGATAAAACTCCAATTGAAGCTTGGAGTGGGCAAAAACCATCAGCAAAACATCTAAGGGTTTTCGGATCAATTTGCTACATACACATTCCAGAAAAGAAGAGACACAAACTAGAAGACAAAACCGTACGAGGTATCTTCTTAGGATATAGCACACAGTCAAAAGGATATCGAGTCTACAACTTGCAAACCAAGAAGCTCACCATTAGTCGAGATGTTGAAGTTGATGAAAATGCTGCTTGGAATTGGAAAGATGAAAAGGTTTAGAAAAATGTTTCCATACCAATTCAGCAACCTTAAGAAATTGAAGAAGTCTCAGGTGAGAATTTTTCACCTCCACAACAACAACATTCATCACCAGAGTCTACTCCAAGACGAGTTAGATCTTTGGTGGATATATACGAAACCTGTAACCTGGCCATAACTGAACCTGAGAGCTTTGAAGCAGCGTCAAAACAAGAAGTATGGGTCAAGGCAATGGAAGAAGAGATAAAAATGATTGAGAAAAATAACACATGGGAGCTAGTAGATTGCCCCACAGATAAATATATCATTGGGGTAAAATGGGTCTATAAGACCAAGCTTAATCCCGATGGCACCATACAAAAGTACAAGGCAAGGCTGGTAGCTAAAGGATACTCACAACAACTTGGAGTTGATTACAACGAGACATTTGCTCCAGTTGCTCGCCTGGATACTATAAGAACTCTGATTGCTCTTGCTGCACAAAAAGGATGGAACATTTATCAACTCGATGTAAAATCTGCCTTTCTCAATGGCATTCTTCAAGAAGAGATTTATGTGGAGCAACCGCAAGGCTTCGTCAGCAAAGGTAATGAAGGCAAAGTACTAAGACTGAAAAAAGCTCTATATGGATTGAAGCAAGCTCCACGAGCATGGTACAACAAAATTGATCAATACTTTGCAGACCAAGGATTCAGGAGGAGCAAAAGTGAAGCAACTTTATACACCAAGATCCAAGGTCAGTATGATATACTCATTGTCTCCTTGTATGTAGATGATCTTATCTGCACAGGAAACAATGTGGAGATGATAGCTAAGTTCAAAGAAGATATGATGAAGACCTTCGAAATGACCGACCTTGGCTTAATGAACTACTTCCTCGGAATAGAGGTAAAACAAAAGAAAGAAGGGATATTTATCTCACAGAAGAAATATGTTGAAGCACTACTCAAGAAATTTAAGATGAATGGATGTAAGACAGTCAACACTCCATTGGTGACAAATGAGAAATTGAAGAAAAATGATGGTGCACCGGAAGCTGATGCATCACGTTACAGAAGTTTGATTGGAAGCTTACTATATCTCACAGCCACACGACCAGACATAACGTATGCTGTAAGTCTTCTTTCAAGATTCATGCAAAGTCCAAGCCAAATTCATTTTGGAACAGCAAAAAGAATCCTAAGATATCTACAAGGCACAAAAGAGTATGGTATATGGTACCAAACTATGAGCAACTCAAAGCTACTTGGCTACACCGACAGTGACTGGGCAAGATCGATCGACGACATGAAAAGCACATCTGGTTATGCCTTTTCACTAGGATCAGGAACAATCTCATGGGCTTCAAAGAAGCAAGCAACAGTTGCGCAATCAACAGCAGAAGCAGAATATGTAGCAGCTGCTGAGACTACAAGTCAAGCAATATGGTTACGAAGAATACTTGAAGAAATGGGAGAAAAACAAAATGAGCCTACTACAATCTACTGTGACAACAAATCAGCTATAGCAATGACAAAGAATCCAGTGCATCATAGTAGAACAAAACACATAGCAATCAAATATCACTTTATCAGGGAAGCAGAAGGAACTAAAGAAATCAAGCTCGAGTATTGCACAACTGAAGATCAAATTGCAGACATTTTCACTAAAGCACTACCAAGACCAAAATTTGAACAGCTACGCACGAAGCTTGGAGTTACAGAAATTTGCATCAAGGAGGAGTATTAGAAATTGATACAAATTTCTAGAATAGTCTAGAAAAAATACTAAGAACAATCTAGGAAAAACTAATTGTATCTTCTAGTATGTAGATGCTTCTAGAGAAAGTTCTAGAATATTGTAAATCTTCAAGTTTCTAGATAGCTCTAGTATATTGACCCAAATGGTGGATGATGCCTATAAATAGGCATGCTGCCTCATTGTAAATGAAATGAAGAAGAAGTAATCAAGACAACAATTCTTCATCTCTTGAGTCTCTTACTAAAACTTCTTCAACTACTATTTTCAACTATTCCTACTAACACATTTCAACTATCTTACTCATCTCACCTACACTAAAAACTATCATTCTCCCAAACCCAACTTCTTCATTTGTGTTAGCCTTCCCAATTCTTGAATTAGCTCTACTCCATCATCAAATGTTCCCACATGACCTAGTGTTTCTAGGGATGTCATGTTTCCGATACCATCCTTCGATTGAGTCATACGCATAGAACCAGCTTGAAGATGTCGTAGCTTTCTAAGCTTGCTCACCTCTATTGGCATCAGAACTCCAAAACATCCCCATAGAATCAAGGTCTCCAAGTTCTGCAACTTAGCAATGGATTTTGGAATACTTCTTATCACTGCAGGTCCGATTCTTAAATACTTTAAATGGATTAAATTCCCCAAATTTTCGGGAACAAAATCCAAAAAGCTATATCCAAAATCAAGCACTTTCAATAACATGTATTTGGTAGGTATTCTCCTCACAAATTCTTCAGATAAATCTTCATTTGTAATAACAATGAGTGAGCGAATAGGTGAGCATTCACTGTTACTTATTATATCGTTGACAGGAGTTGCTATTGATAGGCGTCGAGTTATCCCACTCAATGCTGACCCATCAAGTACCCTATGACAAAATCTCAAATCCTCACATTTTTTAAGAATCATCTCACGTGTTAGGTCATGAACACGACAACCTTTAACTTTCCCATCAATGCTAAGTGAAGATACTTGCACCAAACTTCTATCGATCAACTCTTTTAAATATCCTTCAGCAACCTTCTCTAAGATTTTCCCTGCTTCATATTTTACAAAACCTTCAGCTATCCATTTCTGAATCAATTTTTTCGATGCAATTTCAAAGTCTTCAGGAAACGTTCCAAAATACAAAAAGCATGATTTAAGATGGTAAGGCAAATTGTTATAACTGAAACTCAAAATCTTTGTTATATCACCTAATTCTTTATTCCTTGTCAGCTCTAAATTTAGATTCTGACTGAACTCTTCCCACTCGTCAACTCTAGAACCTTTACAAGATAAAAGACCAGCAACCACCACTAATGCTAGTGGTAAACCATCACATTTTTCAACAATCTCGGAAGATATATGCACTAATTCTGCTGGGCAAGACCCATTAAATTCAAATTGGAATGCCCTCCTGCAAAAGAGCTCCCGTGACTGTGCTAGAGATAGGGGTTTTAATTCATGTATTTTAACAAAAGAAGATTTTTTGCAAGACTCCGCAACTTTCATGTCCCTAGTGGTCATAAGTATCCGACTTCCGTTTTGATTATCAAGAGTTGCAAATTCTATCTCATCCCAAAATTTGACATCCCAAACATCATCAAAGACAATGAGGTACCTCTTTTTGCTCAAGTAGTTTCTCACTTCATCTAATAATGAATCGCCTTGCATTGTAGAAATATCCTGAGGAGGATCCACTTGTTTTTCTTTGTAAAATTTCTGCAACATGTCCTTCAACAAGCCATCTACAGTATAGGACTGAGACACTGTGATCCACGCATGGCAACCAAAGAACCCGATCACCTCCTTGTTGTCAAACACTTTCTTGGCAAGAGTGGTCTTTCCCACTCCTCCCATTCCTACCACAGAGATGACAGTGCGCTCTGCTCTTCCCTCTATCAACCAACCCACCAATTCATCTCTTGGGGCCTCAAAGCCCACAATTTGAGCTTCTTCCATGTAAAGGGGAGCCTTTCGAATCTTCTCCAAAGTCGTGTTTTGGTTTCCTCTAGAACTGCTTGCTCCTTTTTCTAGAAAAGGTTGGACATGGAACGCACTCTCAATTTCACTGCTTTCATTGATTGCACGAACTCGTGATTTAACATCCTTAATCTTATATGATATTTGGAGACGAAGCATCAAGGTTTTGAAGAGATCAGCAGGCTGACAGGGTAAAGCTGCACATCCAGGATCTCGAGTCTCTTGTTCCTGATGGATCACATATTCATCAATTACATCTTCCATGCTAAAAGCTGCTTCTATCAGCAACTTCACCTTTGCTTTAACTTCTTCACGTGTGGTGTTGTCTCCAGCTGCAGCCACTCTATCTGCATCATGAATGATGGCTTGAATCTTTTCTAGTTCATTTTTCATGTCATCAACATCTTCTGGGACGCCCCTGATCATGTTGCCAACTTCCATTAAGAATGGAAACAAATGATCACGAGCCAAGGACAATGCAGTTTCGGCCATTTGAGTGTTGCCAATCAGATTTCTCCAGTTGCTGTATAATGAGATGAGATGGAACTTTATGTCCTTACATTTGTATAACTTAAAGGCCCTAATGAATTAGTTAGAGGAAGTTGTTGTTTGACATTTATTGAGGAATTGGATTTAGTTAATGCAATGTGATGCCAATATCTTAGCCTACTCACACACATGAATCTAGAAATAATATTTATCTTATAAAAATCTTTTCTTTTTTATAGTCTCAGTAATTCGTTTTCTTTTTCAATATTTTTTTATATATTATCAAACTTAACTCGTACATTAAAACTCACATTAACAATGATATAAGATCTAAACTTCTAACTCGTATAATGGTGTGAGTGATAAAAAAAAAATTTAAAATATTTAAATTTAAATTTTATGAATTAAAAATAAGAGTTTGATTCTTCTAATTGAATCTTCTAACTTACATTAATAAGCACTTAAACTATTTTTTAATATTAATTAATTTCTTTGCTCCATATATTAACTATGCATTAAATTTTGGACCAACACGACAACACTCAGATTAAAGGTATAAAAGCAAAGAAACGATCCTCGCATGGATTATAATTTATTATTTTATTCAACGTTAAATGTAAATTAAATAAAAAATTTAAATTAAATTTAAGAATTTTTAAATTTAAATTAGTATAAAATAATACTGTTCTATAAAAATAATGTTTTTAAAATTTATGAGAAAATATATGTATAATTTACAATACTGAATTTTCCGGTTTAACAAAATAGGTAGAGAGAGACTATGGAAGCTCGATACTGCATACAGTATACAAGTGACCCAAATTAAGTTTTCTACCCGTGATTATGAGTTTGTTTATACAACAATAGTTATTATCTTGTGTACTGCACGCCAATTATTAAATTAAAATAATTAATAAAAAATATATTATATGATTGTTTTAATATTTAATAGAGTTTAAACATTAAATATTAAAATTATTAATAATAAATATTCTAATATATTAAATAAATTTTCATAGAAAAATAAGGTTTAAATTAAAAACAAATTATAAAAAAATTCAAAATTTCAATTAAAAATAAATATCTAATGTAGAAAAAATTATATAGTATGATGAAAAAGAAAACTCACTTTTAAATATAATATTATTTGAGAAAAATTCATACTTTTGATAGACGACGTTGAATCTCTATCAAACTAATTAAGTTTCTCTAAGAATTTTGTAGAGCTCAATTTAGGTCGATTCACAAATATATATATTTAATTAAATTTAATTTTAGGTTTTTTTACATTCGGGAGTTTGAAAATTTCGTATTAATTAAATTAAAATTATGAACAAAATTAAATTAAATAAAATCAGATTCAACTTATAGAATACTAAATGTGTGTACTTCCAATTATTATAGTATTTAAATGTTTTAATTCGAATTTGATCGATTAACCAATTCAATTATTAATTCAATCAAATAACCTAATTGAACTAGATCACACAAATTAAATCAAATTATCATTTAACCTATTTCAAATTAATTATGAAATCAGAATATTCATTAAGTCATAATTTGAATTTTAACCACAGAAAAGTTAATCACGACCGCAATACACAAATCTGAAATTAGAGAAAAAGAGAACAAACTCAGAATAATTTGACCAAAAACTCAAATCAAATTTATCTAAATTCTGCGAATTGAATGAGAAGTTTAATCTTCTATCGAAGCACTTAATCTAAGTGAGAATGAGAAGAAAATGAAAAAATTCAAAAGAAGGTAAAAACAATAATTCTTATTAAAAAAATTCCAGTTCAATCTTCCAACCTTCTCTTATCCAATTCCCCACAAGAATAAAATAGTTACAAAGCAATGAAAATAATGGCTAATCCATTTGGTATGCAAAATGAGGAGCATAAAAGCACCAGTTTGTCATGCAAATTACACCATAAGTAATTTGAAAGCCAAGAACACAGACCCAGGTCTGGTCCTGAGGGTAGTTTAGAGGTACGATTGCCTAAGACCCAAGCTTAAAAGAGGGCCCAAAGTAAAATTGTATCCTACTTTCACTTGAAATTTTTTTTAGCTCTTGCAGTTTGTAGTCAGAAAAAATAAAAAAATAAAAAAGACTTTTTAATTCCTTGCACCTCATTTGCTATAAACGTAGTTGACTCCTTGACTTCTGTAAACTCAAAACTTCATTCAAATTAAAAATTTTACTATTTTTAGCATTAAAGCTCATGGAGAATTTTAGTTTTCTCCAAAAAAAATTAAACAGTTATTAAGTTTGTCAAATCTGCGGATTATTATCTAAATATTTTAATCACTTATAGAATTTTTTTTATGGTTTTGATGACTATATCATCAACTGAAAGAAGTTTTTTAAAGTTAAAGTTAATCAAAACTTACCTAAAGTCATCAATGTCACAAAAATCGTTGAATGGTCTTGCAATTTTATCAATTGATAAAGAATTTTTAAAAAATATTAATATTAATGTTATCATTAATGATTTTGCATCTCAAAATGCTCATAGAACCTATTTTTTATGATTTTTTGTGTTTTTGTAGTTTATTATGACAAAGAAATTGTTTAAATGAAAGAATTTTTTTTATAATTTTATTAGAGAAAATTATAACAACTTAAAAAATATATTATTTTAATAAAATTATTAATATATACTTTTATTTTATTTATTATATTTTATAAATTTTTTAAAGGGTCCTAATTTTGTATTTTGCCTAAGGTCCTAAAAAGGTAAAGAACAGCCCTGCACAGACATCTACGAGGACTCCATTGACAGAGGAAGATGGTTCGTTTAAGTTCTAAATTGTAGCACAGCTGTAACATCCTTATTTTTAATTAACATAATAATAGTAAAAAAAAATCAAAATCTTCAAAATCGGAGAGATCCTTAATAACAAAGGTTCAAATCGGAAAAAACTTGAATAGTAAAACATTAGTCTTTAAAAGTAGTAGTAAACATTAAGTATCGTAGTCATAATTTGCTTCATAATGTACAACATATATTTGTATTTCAAATACACATAAAGTTATCAAAATACATTAAGACCATTCATTTACATTTACAAGTATTCAAAATAATAATGGTCCTAATGAGTTGCCTAACCACCTTTTAACCAAGTGGCACTAGTCATCCCCGTGCCAATCTTTTATCATCGCTAGGTCTTCAGCAGTCAACTCGTTATCCGAGCCAAGATACTGATCCTCTGGGTCTGCAGTGACCTGAACACCTGTAATATGCTCGATCGTCCATTGCGATGGTACTTTAAACTGATCGTGGTCATGGTACTTAACAAGATACGTTACTGCTGCAGGGGTTCTCTCAACACCAGAAAAGATATAAATACAGAGTGTGTGATGGATTCTATATACAGACAAATCAAAAGGGATACTAAAGGCTAGCTCCAATTCCATCATCACTACCTCACTAGGCACCTCACTATCATGTACAAGAACTCTAAAAGAAGTAAATCTCTGATACTGACCAAAAACATCATTTACTATATTTACTTATGAACTATCTACTATTCTAATTCCCTCCCTGGGTGTCGTCATTTGGGTTCCCTGAAATGGTTACGTAAGGATAAGTCTCCACTTTCATTGCCGAGCATACACACTCAGAGAATTCAATAATACAGGTCAAACATTCAACATGCATCATATAACTAATTCAATTATGCATTCAAATTATGTTTCTCTATATATTCTCTCATTACTTATTTCCAAACTCAGTACCATTCTCATTTTCACTATCCCTAGGATCCCTTGAGGTCTTCTTTAGCATAGATAGTTGCTGGATAGCCACAGCTACACGGATACAACGTGTGCCGACCCGGCCCCTTTTAGCAAAAATGTAGTCAAGAGTATAGGTCAGGAAACAAGCATGAGGCCTGTGGTGTCTCTACTCTCATTTGTATTGCGCAATTCAAGAGGAACATCCACCACCCTCATTTCTCCAAGACTTTTCAATCTTCTCCATCTTCCACACTCCCAGTGTACTTCTGAACTATCTATGCATGTCCTTTTCTTATCCATTCTGATTTCCTTTCTCTTTCTCTTTTATATCTTATCTTTCTAGGCCTCTTTCTATTTCATTATTTCACTATCTATTACTTTTTCTTTACCAAGGGTTATTCCTTTTGGGCTCAGTACATCATACACATGCTCAGATTCAAACATATCATACTCATCATATATCATTTTCAAACATCACAGAGCATGTTTTAAACACATCAATCACATGTTATCAATCAAAACATACTCATTTCAAGCATTTTCACCCATACATACAATAGTTCCTAGCAATGAAATAGAGCTCTCCTTACCGTGAGATAAAGTTTTGAAAGATATTTTGTGAAAGGTTCTCAGTGAAAGGACCAAGATTTTCCTAGATATCACAAAAGAGAACATTTTGAGAAAGGAGAAACTTAGAAAACATCCAAAAAGAAAAACAAAGCTCTAAGAACTTACTTGGTGTTGATTGATGAAGTTCTCAAGCTTGGATTTGTAAGAAAGTTGAGGTTTTTGAGAGATTTTCTAAGAAGAGAGGGTTAGGGGTCGAGAGAATAAGAGAGCGCTCGAAACTTGGATTGTAATCCAAGTTTTCTAACTTGGAAACCCTTAAATATTCCTAGCCTCGCGATATTCTCGCCACAGCGAGAAATTTTCGCTCTAACGAGACTTTCTCTTGCTACAGTGAAAAATCAGACAAAATTGCACTTTACTGTTTGTCATTTTAGCTACAGCGAGAGCATCCTCGCTACAGCGAGAAGATCCTTGTTACAGCTACAGAGCATCAGAATGCCTGATTTTGATGCTAATTTCTCGCTACAGCGAGACACATCTCACTACAGCAAAAAATCTTGCAACTCACACATCTAAAACTCTCCTAATTTCAAGTAACATGCATTATGAACTCACATCAAATATGAAATTAATAATTAATAAAGTAGGGATGTTAGAGCAGCAGTGGTTAATAACAATATAATAACGTGGT